CCTTAATTACCATCAATAGAACCGCCTTTGGTATCATCAGCTCAAAAGCACAGTATATATGACAGTTCATATCTTATTATTGTTCCTTACATTTAAAATTAGTACAGTATTTTCAAACATCACAATTTGTTGGTTAAAATCATGTGCAGCATTATTTATTTAAATAATGTTAAGCATACATGTATTTACAACCCAACTCTTAACCAATTCACTTCCTGTAACTATTTACATTAACAACAATCAATGGAAATATTAAAAGATGGCATTTAAAAAAGTGCAATAGGCCTACTAGATGTTGAATTACCTAGTCAATAGAGGGGGTAAATAACATGTAGTGTTACCGTCAACGCCCGCCCTCTTTTACGTCAGTCTGCCAAAACTTTAGACCATCTAACTATTGCATCAGATACCGAGAATGCATTATGATTGTCTCGGTGTATTTAGTTGCATGTTATAGAGGAGTGCTAAACCACCAGGAACTACGAAATAACGCAGATTTACAGAATACAACTCTTTATTACCGTACTTTTCTAGAAGGCGCATAAACTTTTAATCATTGACCGAGTCGCTTTATTGACTATGTATTTATTACATGTAATATACAATAGATAGAAAATGATAAATAATGAAAATAATGTGACAAATAGACAGTAAATTATCACATTAACAAATTGTTTCTTTAGTCCTGAACCCTCATTGTGTGGCGCTTAGATTTTACAATCAGACGGTACATTAAACGGCATAAAATATACAACATTAATAACATTAGAAATTTAATGATCATTTAATATATACTCGGTTGTAGTAAGTATTGACGTTAAATGTATGTGCCATGTTTTATGTAATTATTATCTAGGTTTTAAGATCAGACGATACAATAAACTGCATGAAATATACAACATTAATAGCATTACGAATTTAATAATATAATATATCTCTGACTTTATAAACGGTTGTAGTTAGTGGTGATATTACTTTATGTGCCTTGTTATTATCTAATTATTCCACAGAGAATGTGTGTTTTTCTGATATTCAAGCTTCGTAGGACTACTTTTCTATGATGGTTTACATAGCAGGGATGCCTCCTGAGTATTGCGGAGCCTTCTTAGCAACTACGCTACGCAATTGGCTGTCAGCCATCATGTATGGATTAATCCGCTGAAAGAAAATATATGACTTAGATATAATAACTTCATTTTTTTAGAATAAAATGATAATGTAGATATGATACTATGTACTCGTTTTTAGTAACAGCAGTTTCATCTAATCATTTTCTGCACATAGGCAATCGTTATAAACATCAATATTTTCTACACCATCAACATCAACCTTCATCTTCATTGTTACCACCATCATCATCCTCATCACCGGTATCAGTATCATCAATATCACATTCATCATTATCATCTACATCATCATCATCGCCATTCACCACCACCGCCATCATCATCATCATCATCATCATCATCATCATCATCATCATCATCATCATCATCATCATCATCATCAGCATCATAATCATCATCATAATCTTCACCATAATCTTTATCAATATTTTTTTCTTATAACAGCAATGTTCTAACGTCATTACTAGCCTCATTAGCGCCGATTACCAGCAGCTCAGGCACCAGGACCAGCTTTATCAAAGTCTATCATTAACATTGGAGTCATTTAATATTATACACACCACTAGCATCACTACAGGGCCCAGCGCTTGCACCAGCAACCAGCATTAGGACCAGCACCATCAACGTCTATTATCCTCATAATACGCATCAATATTATAATTATTTATTATTATCAACCACCACCACAAGTTACAACCCCAGCCCTGCGCACCAGTAACCAGTGCCAACACCACCGGGACCTTGACCAATACCATCAACCTTCCTCATTAGAATCAATTTAGCATCAACAATATAATCAACTACAGTGCCTGCACTAGCAACGAGCACTGCACTAGGACCTGTCATTCTGATTATTGATATCAACATTATAATAATTCAATAGGCCCCACTGCCACTACCACTGCCACTATCTGCACCAACAGCCAACACCAGCACTGGCAAAAGCACCAGGATCGGCATCATGAACGTCTGCCATCCCTGTGAATAGGATTATAATCATTCAAGTCCCACTTGCATCACCACAACACTTGCACCACCAGCAGCCAGCACAAGTAGTAAGAATAGATTCCCTATCATCTCATTAACTTCACCACAACCCAAGACCTGCACAAGCAACCAGCAACCTAACAGGCACCAGAACTCCATCTCCATCAAAGTCTATCATCCTAATTATTAGCATCACTTTCATCAACACCACTAACACTACCACCACAACCCCAGTGCCTGCACCAGAACCAGCACAAGCACCAATACCATGGGCGTCATCATCCAGGGGCGGAGAAACCGTTTCAGCAGGTCAGACGCCCGCCTGACCAATAACATTATAAAATTGTCTTTTCTAAAACTTTTATTTTAGTGTACTATCTTTATCTAATTAATGTTTACGGTACTTATTCTGTAAAAAAGAAGGTGAATTTTTTAGAGGTAAGGGGTGGTAGGAATCCTTGTTACACTGGTACCATATGCCAAAATATAAGGTTTCCAATCGGAATTATATAACTGTAATAAATGAATAAACATTATTTAATTTTAAAGCACTCAGGCGTTTATTCTTATGTATAAGATCTGAAAACAGCTGGAGGCTTTTTTTTTTAATCATTCTCAACATTGACTTTAAACAAATATGATAAACAAAGCAATATTCAGCTATTATTTTATAAATAGTCTTCCCTGCATGGTAAATCATTGGTTTTTTTTAAATATTTTTTCTCAATATACTAAAAGTCAACCAGCTGTTAACAATCTTTGTTTGATTTAAATTTGTTTATGAATTCACATCGATTCAATATTTAGTTTATTATATCATTAGGATATCTGATGATGTTTTAATAAACAGCAGATAGTGATTCGCTATATTTGTTTTGTGTTCATGGTGTATTGTTTAGACCATATGGTTTTTAAATTCATGAATATAGATCTAGGCCTAATAATCTACTGCTAGAGAAATGCTGCTAACATGATTTCCTGATTATTGATATCAACATTATAATAATTCAATAGGCCCCACTGCCACTACCACTGCCACTATCTGCACCAACAGCCAACACCAGCACTGGCAAAAGCACCAGGATCGGTGCTGCTATATTTGTTTTGTGTTCATGGTGTATTGTTTAGACCATATGGTTTTTAAATTCATGAATATAGATCTAGGCCTAATAATCTACTGCTAGAGAAATGCTGCTAACATGATTTCCTCCAATATCGTAAATTAGAAATAGGCCTAGTACGGTAATACAAAATGGAATTGCCAATACTGTGAGCATAAAACACTCCGAAAACATTTTTAAAAGTCTGAGAGTGCTATTTCTGACTATTCAGATGTACAATCTAAACACCAGCGTAAATTTAATTGGAACTAAATGCTTCCACCGTCCCTCCTCGTGATTAGTATCAACATCATTATTACCATGATGATGATGATCATCATCATAATCATCATAATTATCGTCATTGTCATCATCATCATCATCATCATCATCATCATCATCATCATCATAAACTCACCACATGTAAACAGCACCAGCACCACTACGAGTACCGCACCATTCTACCAAGACCAGCATCACCAATATCTTCATCCTCATGGTATGCATGTTATATTATACCACAATAAGCACTACTACCACCAATAGCAATACCACCACCACCACCACAGCTTCACCAGCAACCTGTACCACCACCCTAGTTCCTGCACCAACAACAATACAAACATCAAACTACACAGAGATTCTTTTCCGCCACCAAAACCAACATGAACACCCACATTGGTAATAAGAAAAACCCATTTAAAATGTATAACTTTTACCCTTTGCTTCAGTGCAGTGTTTTCTTCTCTGTTCCATGCAAATCCCTACAAAATATAGTGGTACGCGTTTGTTATTGTAACATTATAATTTTCGATTAAAATCAATTCAACAGTATAATGTACTTGGTATTATTATTAAGCTCATCATTATTATCATTATCATCATTATGAACTTCATCGACATATAGCCTAGAAGACGAAGAAAAATAAAAGAAACACAAAAAAAAACAAGAATAAGAGGAGAAAGAAAGAGGAAGAACAAGAGAAAGAAGAAAAAGAAAGAAAAGAAATAGAAAAAGAAGATAAAAAAGAAGAGGAGAAAAAGATGGAAAAAGAAGAGGAAGAAGAAAAAAGAGAAAAAGACAGACAAAAAAGAAGAAGCAGCAGAAGAAGAAAGGAGGAAGAGGACGAAGAAAAAAGAAGGAAAAGAAAGACGAACGCTAGAAGACGTCTACATGCACAAACATCAACAGCACTTTAATAGTAGAGCACAACGAAAATACGACACATGAATTTGAATTTACCCTTTTATTTATATTCATATTGGGCGACTTCTTGGCCACTAAAGTTGAACGTTTCAAACCATCTGGTTGAAACTCCTCCTGTAAACACAAAATACGAATTTCATCATCACTTTCTTATGCATCTTACACTATATTTATTGTTATGGTTCTTTGGGACAAAGGAACCTTAACTTTTGTTACATAGATTTAGTTCACTTTTACGTTTCTGCCTCCTCTCTGAGTTGGCTGTCATTGTGTTTGTTTATGTTCTCGTTTTTGGAAATAAAAGAAAGAATAAGAATAAGACCATCCCGATTACATTCAATAACAATAACCAAGCAATTCAAACCAAACGAACCCATCCGAACCCGGTGATATTTTTAAAGGCCTATTGCCTAATGTAACAGCCGATTGCTTACCAGTCTGTATCTATCCAGTCCACTCTTTCTAGGCATCTCTTGGTATCGGTTGACAAACTGAGCTGTATTTGGCATGTTCGGTAGGCAACACATAGATGCTGGAAAAAGTAAAAAAATCTGAGTAGTTATAAATCTACACAACTTTGACATTCTTCGATACCTACAGTATACATTGATATAGCTAATTGTGTGTGTATGAGCATTGTGTATATGAATATTTTTACACTGTCAAAACAGCGTGGAGGATTTAAACACAATTAAGCTCCACACAATTCTATCTCTCGCTTTTGGCAACTTTCCGCTAAGCCAAGCCAATATTGGTTACTAAGGTGTAAAACCTGAAACAGCGTAAACTGGCATGTTAATGGGACATGTGCGTCTACCTGACCAATAAATAATACAATTAAATTAGTCAGTTGGGTTATGTGTGAAATGGTCCATTGTTATTGATGTTTATTTCCTAGGTAGTATACTCTAATTACATGGTTTGATCAACATTTGAAGTTAGTTTGTTATATCACGGAGGTATAAAATAAATATAGTCTATTTTTATACCTCATGGTTGTATTGTGATCTACTTACATTGTGTACAGTCCATGATCTTATCTTTATCCCAAGACTCTGCGCAAGAACACTTAAGATTCGGATAAATAACAGATCTTACGGGAGTATAGCCTACAGAGGAAACCATGTGGTTAAATACAAGGCAGTCATATAACAACACATCGCATGTTGTCAATATATAGGCCTAATTGTTATCTATAACTTTTTATACAAAGGCACGATAATACATAAACTTAGGCTTATATTAATTACTATACTATATTACTATATAAAACATTATTTCACACTTCAAGTAATCTGATGTCAAAATTACCAAGTTCTACGAAATTCAGCTGACAACATACATAGGCCTACTCAGATCTATAAATGTGAAGTTTACCCTATTATCGAACAATCGTTGCCTTCCTTTATTCCTTCCTTTATCATTCATTTAAACATTCAGTTAATCAATCATATCAATTAAACAGTCGATCGATCGATCAATCAATCATTCATATATCTATATTTAAGTATTGATCCATTCATGTATTTGTTTATTTGTTCATGATTTATTCTTATTCACTGAATTAATTTATTCATGTAAATATTCATTTAACTATTTATTTATTCATTTATATATTTATTAGTTTATTCATTCATCATTTATTCATTTATTCATTCATTAATTCATTCAATTACTTATTCATTCCTGTATTTAATCATTAATTAATTCATCCATTTATTCATTCATTCATTCCTTCATCCATTAATTAATTCATTCATTCATTCATTCATTCATTCACGATATTTGGTATTTAACCGGAAATAGTTTGCTATCATTAAACAGCCAACCTCTCTAAACAACGTGGGTTATTGTTAATCTGTCATGGAGGAAAGAAAATCAATGCATATGCTTAATACGACGAACCTTTGGACATCTGGTCACCGGGACAGGGGTTTGGTGGTGTGTCGTACCCATATATTCCTATTTCTGGAATGGCAACTTGCTTATTGGCTAGCTCACCAGATTCTCCAATTTTCTGCTTTCCCTCTCCAGTGCCTCCTATAATAAATTTGAATAAGAGATGGAAGAGCGTTTTTATTTTATAATGAATAATAGGACGACTGAATATTATTGTCGACAAGTGAACATTCTGCCGCATCTACTGTATACATATTTAACGCAGGCCTAATGGTGATGATTATGATAATGGGGATGATAGAAATGCTAGTGATGTGGTAGTGATTGTTGTTGATGAAGATGATGGTGGTGATGATAATGATGATGATGATGATGATGATAGTGATGATGATGATGATGTTTATGACGATGATGATTATTAATAGGACTAATCATGATGATCTTTATAAGGATGACTATCACTTATATTATTATACATATACATACATAATGTTTTATGTTACGACTCATCATATAATGATAATATTAATAGTTGAGGATCATTATCATAATGATTATTATATGTAATTATTTGGTTTAACATATAAAGTATAAGACGCAACTATCATGCTTGATAGAGTCAAAATCCTACCTGCCACATATGTGTTTTCGTCACCTTTTAGTATATTTTCCTCCGCCATCTCCTCTCTCCGATTCAGATAGTTAAAGGACCATGGGAATGACGTCACGTGACAAACTAACGTCACCAGTATAAGTAGTCTCATGGTCTCTGTTTGGCACCGTCAACTGATTCGGCTGAAAGACGATGTCTATGGAGACAGATTGATGAGATTGAAAATATGTGTAATAATAATAATAGTAATAATAATAATAATAATAATAATAATAATAATATGCATGATAATAATAATAATAATAATAATAATAATAATAATAAATATAATGATGTTCATGATAATGTACAACCTACAGCCTCAGAATAATTCAAACACGTTTTGGTTATTACACGGTTATACATTAGAATCAATGTATTGACGTCTTCAGCACGGCATTGCAAAATTGATTTAAAATAATAATTCAACTACAGAAAAAAAAACAATCAATAGTATTTAAAATATGGCCAAGTACCGTTAGTAATAACGAAGATGCGTATTGACGCGTTGCTATATTATAATAAAATGGATTAAATGTCAATATCTCTTCGGATTATCCAAATGTCAAATTATGACATGATTTATTCATACGCCATTTGAAGTCAGTAGATTAGATGTTTATGATTCCAGCAAAATTAATAATGCATGCACTGTCGATCGAGCCTTCGTAGGTAAGGCATAGTTAATTGATATCATTAATATGCAGATAATGAGATGGAAAAGTCATCGCTGTCCATTTTATTAACCTTTGACCCATACTGGACGATATAAAACAATTTGCACTTTGCGTTTTTGCAATTTTTTTCGTGAAATAGGACTAAACGATAACATGATATTCGATTATTTGAAGCGAATCTCTCCACCAAGTTGTAATGCCGGAAAATGAGATATACGGCTTGTGATTCTATATACACCATAGAATTATAAAACTCTACGATATACCATGGAGGAAATATATATTTCCTCCATGTATATTACACACACACTGCTGTACCATACGCGTGAATGCAGTAGCACACGTCGTGAGATATCCCTTTAAGACATAAGCATTGGTGCATGTGACGATCATAATGCTCGCATAGTGTTGTGATTTACTGTTTCCATCAATTTCTCTACATCAAATATTAATTCCTACCATTTCTACGTCTATTATTAACTTAACTGCACTAATAGGTCTAATACCACCACATTTCACTATGCCGGATCAGCTAGATACTGCTACAAATGCTATGCCTAATAATCGGCAGGCTATAAGTCAGACTCTGGAGAAAAACACATATTTTGATATACAACTGAATGTTAATACAAAATGGGAATTATATTATCGATAACTACGTACAGTATTCAAAAACTGGAAGAAATAGGTGTTACCGGTACCCTCTCCCCCAAGAGTGAACCTAACAGATTATATCAGGGAACATGTAATTATGTAATTTCATTGTTCCCTGATTATATTCAATAGGAGCGTAAGAAAATCAGTAAAACATCCTGTACAGTAGTGTATAATTTTGTATATTCACATAAATATCTAACACTAAATTACTACTACTACTACTACTACTACCACTACCACTACCACTACCACTACCACTACCACTACCACTACCACTACTACTACTACTACTACCACTACTACTACTACTACTACTACTACTACTACTACTACTACTACTACTACTACTACTAATATTTGGCAACAACTGATTGTTCCTACTACTTTAGCAATTTTTTGTTATGACAACTTCAATTATCAATCCTATTTCTATTTTAAATTTACATATATAAGATGAAGGTGTCATTCCCATCTCCGTTCTGTACGTAAATTTAGTTTCTAACAGATTCCCATTTAAGATATTTGAAGAATAGTTTAAGTAATTATATTAATAATGATATTTCTATGCTGTAAATCTGACGCTACATTTGACCTTACCTAGGAGGAGATCTGAAAACGTGAAGTTCAATACAAAATAGCCTATAGCATACATCAATAAAAATCAATTATATTATCCAATTATAAGAACCAAGAATCAAAAAGAATATTTTATAGTCGAACATGTGAACAATGAAATTCGTTTTGCCTGTTGCTAAAATCCACACTGTAAAATACGACATAGAATATACGAATATACACAGAAAATAAAAATATTAAAACCTAAATGGCAGGACAAACATTATACAAAAACTAGTGCTGTTCAACTACGCATGCGCACAAGTGGGTGAGGAATGAGTTTGCATTAATCAGAAATCTTAACGAAGGCTCAATGTTTAATGGTTTACAATTGGTTGAGGCGTCTGCATAAACTGGAGAAGGTCCTGCGCTGGAATCCCGGTTGGTCAACATTTTTAACACGTGC